CACGAGCCCGCAGCCCAGCAGGACCCTCGGGGCGTCGCTGCTCTGACCAGGTTCAAAGCTGTTTTGCTCCTGCCCCTGTACAGGCAGGACTTCAAACGGCATCTCCCGCTCTGTAATCTTGGTGGTTCCACTTTCTTCCCAGCTCATTTACTTGAAAATTGCTGGGATGCTGTTCCCGACCTCTGACCTCTGGCACCCTGTGGTGACGCCCGCGCTGGTGTGCCTGAGCCAGCTGCTTACCAAGGTATGTCCTTCCGCCAAAGCCGATGGCTGAGGGGGTCAAGGACACGGACACTCGGGGTCAGGTGGGAGCGAAGCTCATCCAAAAGCATCCGGCGGAGGAGCTGGGAGCTGAGGTCAGACACAGCTCCCCTCCCCGAGCACCGGCTCCAGCCCCAGACGTGGAGGCGACGGAGGGTGTGAGCCCAGAAAACCCCCTTCCCGTGGTGGAAGCATCACATCTGATGGGGGTCCTGTGCCCTGGGCACTCACGCGGGCCCCGCATTTCCGGGTCGGGCCTGGGCTGGGCACTGCGGCCCCCGCACACTGGGAGGGGCAGAGCTCCGCTGAGGCTCTGCCCGGCCCCGGGAGGTGTGTGGGCTCCCACTCACCTGGGGAGCGGGTGGTCGGGGTCCGGACTGTGTCCTGACCAGCTACTGGCTCTGTCCCTCTGCCAGTGCCCCGTGCTGTCCCTCCCGGACGTGGTGAAGGGCCTGTTTGTGTGCTGCGTGTTCCTGGACTACGTGTCCCTGTCGCAGAGGTTCATACCCGAGCTGGTCAACTTCCTCCTGGGCATCCTGTACATAGCAACCCCCAACCAGCCAGGTCCAGGTGAGCCGCCGCGGCTGTGGCCGGGGTTGTGCTGGGGCTTTGAAAGTGCTGAAAGGAAGCCATGCTCACTGTAGCGAGTGTGGGGTATGGAAGAGGGGGCGGAAGACAGACATCGCAAGACCTCCCGCCCAGAGTAGCGCCCTGTTCCGGGTGCGGGCGTGGAAGAAATCAGGACGCACTCTGCCCGCGGTGGCCAGAAGCCACACGTGGCGGGTCTGACAGAGGTGCCCTAAGTCAGGCTCACCCAGGCAGCCGCGACTCAGCCAGAAATAGTCTCAGCTTTATGTTGATGTGTTGAAATATTTCCCTATTTGGGGCTAAGTAAAACACACAACGAAGATTTTTTTAAAAATATATTTTATTGATTTTTTACAGAGAGGAAGGGAGAGGGATAGAGAGTTAGAAACATCGATGAGAGAGAAACATTGATCAGCTGCCTCCTGCACACTCCCTACTGGGGATGTGCCCGCAACCAAGGTACATGCCCTTGACCGGAATCGAACCTGGGACCCTTCAGTCCGCAGGCCGATGCTCTATCCACTGAGCCAAACCGGTCAGGGTTTTTATCTTACTTTTTTACGTGGCAACAAGCACGTGCTGGCGCGCTCACGGGCTCCGCTGCAGGTCCGCTGGGCAGCACGTCCGCGGGGTTCCGTCTCCTGGACGGGGGTCGGCGGGTGTTCTGAGGAGGAAGTGCCCCCATTGGTCCTGCTCTGTACTCAGCTCCACTCCCTCCTGGGCTTCCTGCATCGCCGCTTCCCTCCTGCCGGGAGCCCGGCGGCCGGCCCCTCGCTCAGTCCTATCAGAGCTCTCGGTGCCCACTGTCCTCTCGCTCTCCCTCCTGACCTCACAGTGACGGCCCTGGGTCCTGCCCGTGGCTGCTCCCTGGCTGCCCCGCCGCCACGCTGTGTGCTCCCGTGGGCCGGCAGGCAGGGCACGGGACACACTCACGCCCCAGGAATCTGCCAGGCAGCGACTGCGGTCAGGGCGCGTGTAGGGTGCGCTGGGCACCGGCCAGGCCGCGGGGTGCCTGCTGTGGCCCCTCGCCCCTCTCTGTGTACCCGCCACCCCTGCTTTGCCGGGCCCCCCTGCAGGCTACTCCCTCTGCCGCGATGCTCTTCTGGGTGATGACGGGTGAGCCTGCGCCTGTGGGGCAGCCTCTGACCTGGTGGCCTCTGCAGCCCCCACCCAGCGCTCCGACAGACCCTCATCCTCGGCTTTGTCACCCGTCTCTCACGCTCAGTCCAGTTCATTCGTCTTCGGGGTGTTCTTTACGGCCTGGCACCCCCGCCAAGGCCGTCCCCCGATCCGCGGTACAGCCCGTGCGTTTGTGAAGAGTGAGCCTGATCCTCAGAGGCGCTCTGTCCCGTCCCCTTGGAATCCAGGTTACGCTCTGGTGCACCCTTTCCGACCTCTGGGGAGGAACTCGGAGCTGCTCGTGGTGTCTGACGAGGGGGACGCGGCCACATGGCAGAGGAGAAGCCTGTCCCTCCACTGGGCAAGCGCACGGCACGCCCAGACCGAGACGGAGGCCAACCACACCAGGTACGTGCGGCCTCAGTGCCACCCAGGTCCCGGGCCTCGAGCGGGCCCGCGTCATCTCTGCAGGTGACGGGACCTTATGTGTAGAAAGCTGTCGGCTCTAGTAACTGAATTTAACAAAGTTTGCAAAAATCAGTGGCATTTTTGTCCCAACAGTCACCTGTGTGAAAGGAAATTGCCCACAGCTCCCCGCACAGTAGCATCAGGAAGAAGAAAATATTCCGTTTTATTTAACTTTTAGAGCAGTGGTTCTCAACCTTCCTAATACCGGGACCCTCTAATACAGTTCCTCATGTTGTGGTGACCCCCAACCATAAAATTACTTTCGTTGCTACTTCATAACTGTAATGTTGCTACTGTTATGAATCGTCATGTAAATATCTGATATGCGGGATGGATTTTCATTGTTACAAACTGAACATAATTAAAGCATAGTGATTGATCACAAAAACAATATGTAATTATATATGTGTTTTCCGATGGTCTTAGGCGACCCCTGTGAAAGGGTCGTTCGACCCCCAAAGGGGTCGCGGCCCACAGGTTGAGAACCGCTGCTCTAGAGGAACCTGCATGTTGGCGCAGTGGCCGCGCAGTCTGCGTTCCCACAGGCAGTGCACGAGGACCCAGGTCCACTAGGGCCTGGCCGGCCTGGCTTTGTTGTTGTTTGAGTAGCCGCTGCTGCCATCCTAACCGGTGGGAGGCGGTGCCTCGCGTGGCTTGGTTTGCGTTTCCCTGGTGGGGAGTGAGGCTGCGTGCCTTTCTCACGCCCATTGGCCACCTGTATGTCCTCTTTAGAAAAATGTCTGTTCAAGTCCTGATGGCACTATTTCCATGAAAAAAACCTTCCCACAGCATTATTTTCCAGATATATCTGCTTGACCTTGTGAACAGTAATTCAAACCCTAAACCAGGGCCCGCTCCTGGTGGCCACAGCATTCCCCCAGCATGGCTGCTCCTAACCTCGTTGTCTGCGGCCATGCTGGGTGTTTAGAGTTGAGTGTTGGCTTGAAGTCTTGCCCCAACCATTGCCTGTCGCCCCGCAGGCTGTCCTGCCTGGCCGTGTGTCTGGCTCTGGTGAAGCGCTGTGTGCTCCTGTACGGTACGCTGCCCGCCTTCCACGACATCATGCGGCCCCTCAGAGCCCTCCTGGCGCAGCACCTGGCTGGCAGCAGCCACCCCCACGAGCTGCAGGTGAGGCTCCCCCATGCGGGCGCGGCCCAGCTCAGCCCATCCTGTGACTGGGGCAGGTTAGCGGGCACTTTGGTCCTTGGCTGCACCCCTAGAAGTCAAGGGCACTGTGTTTGCAAATGAGAAACTCGAATGAGAAGCTGTCAGTGCTGAGAAACTCCGAGAAATAACTGCTGCTGCACGGAGACTGCCCTGGGTTTAAGCTGAGAATGGTCATGTCACGTCCCCTTCTGCCTGCCCACTGCCCACTGCCCACCAGGGCCTGGCACCCGTCCCTCCCGGACTACACACTCTGGCCTCCTCACTCGGGGACTGCATTGTGCGGCATGGCCACCCCCGCGCATGCTGTCATGTCTCTGCCCCCAGGAAGTGACCCGAGAGGACATCTTGTCACCCTGCGGGAGGCAGACGCAGTGGCCCATCCCTTAGTTGAAGCGCACCCTGGCTCTGCCCTGCGGATTCGGGCGGGCCAGAGGGCAAAGGGGTAGGGGGGACCTGTGGGCTCGGGGGCACTGCACGTCGTACCTTGCACGTGGTCCCCACGGAGCCGGGGCATTTGGCCCTCAGAGGTGAGCCTACAGGCGGGCGGGGGTGGCTGTGCCGGCGGTGCAGGAAGCCTGAGTTCCGGGACACACCTGTGCGTGGGGAAGAGGAAGGAACGCACGTCAGCAGGCTGGCTTCTAGAGCGCTCGGCCGACTCCTGGAAGCGCAGGCTGTAGGTTCTTCCGTTGGAATGAAAGTGACGTCGGATCACAAAGACTGGGTCCTGCTCGGTGCCCGCCGTGGCGCGGCGCTGCCAGGTTTCTCTGGGAAAGAATAACCCGTCCTGGGCTCGGGGCCGGCAGCACAGGCTGCTTTCCTCCTGAGTGCCTGTCACGCCTGTCGGACGCCCTGCACTCGGTCTTCGGGTCTGCAGCCCCGCCCCCCATCAGCAAGGTGACGCTTCCATCAGGGCTCCCACCTGCCAAGGGCCATCTGGCCATCATTCCCAGGCCATACAACAATTTCAACTTAAAACCAGCTGCTCTATTTGGTCAAACGTTTCATTCTCCCCGAATGCCTTGGCAGGGCCAGACCAGGTGATTCCTCTCATGATCCGCGGGCCAGACGTTCCCCACCCCTTTACTTAGCAGATGAGGGAAGGCCTGGGGGAGGGAAGGAGGTCCCTGCCTGCCGCCTCTGAGGCCGCAGAGCCTCCTGGAGGAGCTGGAGAGGCCGCCGCGGCCATCACAGCATGGTTCCTGTGCAGGAGCTGTGTCGGAGTGCACTGGCCGATATGGAGGCCCAGGAGAGGCGCTACCAGCCCCTGGTCTGCGAGAGGAGCAAGCCTGTACCCCTGAAGCTGTTCACCCCCCGGCTAGTCAAAGTGTGAGTGCAGCTGCCTCCGCAGGGCCTGCCATGGAGGGCCCGGGTCAGCATGTGGGTAGGGCACCCCAGCCCCCAGGGGGTCAGGGTGTGGGTGTGGGCCCAACTCGCTGGCTCTGCTCTTAGGCTGGAGTTTGGAAGGAAGCAGGGCAGCACCAAGGAGGAGCAGGAGCGGAAGAGGCTGATCCACAAGCACCGGCGGGAGTTCAAGGGCGCGGTGCGGGAGATCCGCAAGGACAACCAGTTCCTGGCCCGGATGCAGCTCTCGGAGATCATGGAACGGTGAGGCCCTGCGGGCGCTGGGGGCCTGCGGGCTGTGTCCCCTGCTCGCCCGGGGCACATCCGTCCTCCAAAAACTAATCCCAAACTGGGCTTTTTCTCCTTAGGGATGCGGAAAGGAAGCGCAAAGTGAAGCAGCTTTTCAACAGCCTCGCTGAGCAGGAGGGTGAATGGAAGGCCCTGAAGAGGAAAAAGTTCAAAAAATAAACAGTTTTTGTCTTAGCAGAGAGACACTGATGTCTTTCCTGGACTTCAGCTCCCGTTTCAGCGTCTCCTGAACGCGCTCTGGACCTGGGGCAGCGCTCCCCGAGAGCACGTGCTGATGAACGAACTAGTTGGTCCGTCAAGTTCAGACGAACTGTCAGTCATGGTCTGGGACTGACGGGATCTGGCCGGTCATTTTTGCCTTCACATTACAAGTTATATTTTCAATTATAAAGTAAACAAGTGTGCAAACAGTTTAGAAATCGGAGAAGGAAAACATCACCCTCAACCCCAGCACCAGGACGGGCAGTCCCTCCCTCAGTCTGCCTGGCGCTCTCCAGGGCTGTGTCGGTTCTGGGCACTGAGCTGGGAGGCTGAAGACGTGGAGTTTGTGGTTAAGATCACAAACTTGTAAGTTAAACAGCAAAGCGCAGCCCTCCCATGCCCTGCACTAACCAGGAGCATCTCAGGAAGGCAGGACGCCGTGCTGTTGGCTGCCCCACGGGCTGTGGCTGGGGAGAGAAGCACAGGCCCCAACGAGGGTGGTCCTTAGCGTTCTGACGGGAACACACTAGCTCCAGCCCCCGCCCTCTGACATGAGTGTTGAGGCAGGTGACCGGTCTCGGGTATGAAGGTCAGAGGCTACAAAAGGGGGAGCATGCTCAGTGGGGAGATACCAGCCAAAGGTACCTAAGGGGGTGACATCCTGTCTTTGGGGAAAGAGCTAATGGGTTTTCATTTGTTGCAGGTGGAACAGCTGTGTATGAGGCATAAGTGTAACTGCTATTTTCGTGATTTGGGTGTCCTCTATAATAAAAGGCTAACAGACAAATCGCCCAGCCTGTGGCTATGTCACACACTGACCATGAGGGCAGAGCGCTCCCACAGGAGGGCATTGCTGTGCCGGGGTCGAGCCCTAGCAGTCCAGGGGCTCCCAAAGGTGTAGCGTTCAGGTGATCAGCATAGCTCTCTTTAGTCTGTGGATCTGCCTGTGCCTGGCTGAGGCCACAGGGACCCAGAGGCAAGCTGAGCCTTTATGTTATAGCCAGAGGTAAACAAGGTGGCGGTCACCATAGTTACACTGTTCTTGTGCCTTTCACTGGTTTTGGCAGCACTTGCTGCACCTCCCTCAGCCCATTAGCTTCCAGATAAGATCTAGGGAGCGACCTAAGGTCCAGCCTAATTATGCTAAGAGGACTCTGCCCTCTAAGCTGGGACTTGTTTGTGACTTTGCCAAAGGTCAGAGGCTTAACCCTATAGCTGCGCCCCCCCAGCTCAGCCAGAAGCCAGGCTCATGGCCCGGGGTGGGCGGGCGGGGAAGCGCAGCAGTGGGCGGGGGAAGGATACCGACTGCCCTCAGGCAGACATCCCCGGGGCTCCCTGACTTGGAGAGGGCGGCCCAGGTGAGGGAGTCGCCCCCCATCAAGTGCACGCATCCTTCAGTATACGGGGGTGTGGCTGATGGCATGTGGGGCTGCATCACCGGTCAGCTTGGGAGGAAAACTTCAGGGCCTAGAATCCCCGCCCACGTGTTTACGGCGCGGGTGGGCCACACGGGGGCGTGGCTGGGTGAGATGAAGGGCAGGGGCGGGCGGC